AAGAACTAATGGTACCCAAAACGAATGTAGCCATTATAAAGACAGTATAGCTTAAATGTTAGAAATGATGCTTACATTCTTGTAATACATAGTGCAGCATTGCTAAGTCACGTTACAGTTTAATTCTTAGCATATAAGGCCAAGAGTGGACCCGAACTCTGAGAGTTCGTTCCTTCAGCTCTCTCGATGAACTGTTTTTTAGCCAGTCCTCACCCATACTTTTACTGAAACAGTCTCTCCAGTATGAATTGAGGAACTACAAGCTTGGATCTACCTTAGGCCTAAAATATCTCACACACAATGTCAAGCATACTTCTCAGTTCTCACTTCATTCAGTCAAAATACAAACAGCCGCACTTTGATATGCTAATTCAAGCACCTTCACATTCATTCACTATCTTGTGTGGAGGGCAAAGTGGGGTTCCTAGGGATCAATGTCAGCTGTCTGTCAGGAGCACATGGCCTAGTGAGCCTAGTTTGAATTATAAACAGCTTTTTGTCACAAGGTTAAGTAAAAGTCATTAGTGCAGATTCTGTCTACTAAGTCATTCCTACACATGTGCTTTAAGACTCTCTAATCCTCTTAACATTATTTCAAGTTGATTAGATTTCAGATAAATATATATATTTTTTAATTCAAAGGAGAATGAAAAGGCTTCAGGCTGGTGTTGACTTGTGGCCCAATGACCCTGGGAAAACACTCCACAGTTTTGCCTGTTCACAGGTCCTCAACTAGCAGGCTTCCTGGGAATGAATAGGTCCTGTGTCCAGGAGATGGAGAGGGTGTGGACAGCCGTGGTGTGTCTGAATCACTACCTTCCTTGGCCTCTGGCCAGCTGCCTCCTCAGACCAATGTGATATGAGACCAAGCTGACCTGAAGGTGTGGGGTTGCCTGGAACAGTCCCTTCTGGGATGAGGTCTTAAGGGGAACTATCCTGGCTGTGGTCCAGAAGCTTGGGCCCTGTGTACATAGAGGTGAGTTGAGCCAACCCGACTTGATAGGGCTAATGTGGAGGGGGCAAAACAATCAATCTTGTGGCTGGGGGAGGAGCCATAGACCCCCTGTCTTTCCCAATATGTTATTCCTCCTGGGTTTGGAGGAGAGGGAGGAAGAGGGGAGTGTCAGTTTGGTTATTGGGTTGGCATATAGTCCCAAGGACTCAGCAGATTGTTTAGAAAAATCCTCTTGGCTGGGGTTGCATGTGGCATCTGCTTCTCAGTGTGCCACTTAGTGGTATTGTTGGAGAAGTTGGGGATATGGGCTGTCTCCAACCATTCCTGGCTCCTTTTACTTACATGGTGAAGCACAGAGGGGTGTACATGTATGTTGGATATGCCAATCCCACAGGTAGTTTGGATTCTGCGGATTGGGAAATGGGGTTTCTGGGGAGACGAGGCAGGGAGAAAGCAGGAACAGGAATGGTTTTGAATCGGGTCCTTCTTCTGACTAGGTCAAGAAGGGACAGGCCAGGCATTTTCAGCCTTGCTTTCTGGACAACCTGCTGACTAGGGATTCTTGTAGCTGTTTCCAAGACTAGTTTCTGCCATTGCTGTGGTAAGATATGAAGGAGCTTCTGCATAGAATAGAACCAGATTCCCTGCCTGGCCTAGCCCTCTCCCTGCCCTAGCTACTCCAAGATGTTGAAGGGGCTGTGTGAGGAGGAAGCCTGCAGGGAGGGTTTCTTTCCTCAGCCTTGAGGGTGATGACAGGAGTATCTAAGCATCGCTCTTCTCTGTCCCGTCCCAGGGAGTGGGAGGGTGCCCTGAGCTCAGGCCTAAATACCTGGTAGGAAGGAGTCAGAGGATGCCTCAGATGCCAAGGGAATGAGAGGGTAAGGATGTGTGTGAGGCACCTTGGGTTGGGAGGTGGGGGAGAGGAGAAGCCTCTGCAGTGGAACTTTGCCAGGACCTTCACCCTAGGGTTCAGGGAGGCACCCCTTTGTTGGCATGTGTTTAATGGGCTCTCCAACTCTGAAGTCGGAGTCTAGTCCCAGTGCACTGGTCTGCCCAGCACTCTCAAGCACATGCTGGATGCTGTTGTGAGGGGAGGGAGAAGTCCAGGCACCAGAGAGATGAGGGAAGAAGGTGTGGGGTAACTCAGGCAGTGGGGCTGGGGTTAGGGCTGTCAGCTGCTCAGTGAGACTTAGGGCAGGGATGGCTTCCATGGCCGAGTGAAGAGTAGGTTAGGGAAGCTGGCTGTCAGAAGTAGCAGGCATGCCTTGCTTGGTATTCTTGGAGCAGAGTAGAAGCTGGGCAGGTGGAAGATGTTTCAGGCCTCAAGATTTCCAGGAGGGGCTCAGGCCAAGTGGGGACAGAGATTTCTGTGGCTTCTTAGGTGGCCCATATTGTGGAATATGGGAGTGTTTGGATCCCTGTGGCCCTAATTGGTGGCTCTGGAGCTCTGGAGTTCCAGAGGCGACCTGGGAGCCAGGACGTTGTGGTCTGCGAAGGTGGAGCCTTGGCTCCATCACTGAGGCACTGCTTTCTCTTTAGCTGCCTGAGGGGCTGCTCTAGGCCTAGAAGAGAAGCTGCGGAGGAGGTTGGGGGAGGGGTTTTCGCAGGCCCAAACTTGAGCCATTGGGATGCAGGTGTGGGGATTGGAGCCTTTCCGGCGGAGGCGCAATAGCAGCCCCTCCCCTCCTGAAGGATGCTCGAGGCCCGCCCCCCCGGACGCAGGGCAGTGACGCTGCCGGTGCCGCGGGAGGGGCGGGGGTTGCGGGCGGCGCTGCTTCCCTCCCAGCCCCTACGCTGGGACTTTGGGCTTCATGGGGGAGAGATCTGCTTACCAGCGCTTGGCTGGGGGCGAGGAGGGACAGCAGGTAATGGGTAGCCAGGAGATAGGCAGGTACCTGGGACTCAGGCCTCATCATCTGCTGATGAACTGAGGCCCAGCCCTGCTCTCTCCAGCAGCTTTCTAGGAGTGAGGGGTGCCTGTGCTTCTTGGCCTCCCCCCACCCCTAGAATCTGCTGAGGGGGCTAGGAGGCTGAGTGAAGAGTGGAGTATGTGTTTGTGTGATGTGTGTGTTCCTGGCAGGGGTGGGTGGTGGTGGTGAATTATTGATGCCGGTATGCATCAGTGTGCATGGGTCCCTGGGGGCCCAAATAAGCTGCCCTTTGGGCTTTCTGCAGTGCCCAGTAAGAGCCTAGGGAACACAGCTAATATTTCTGTTCACGTATGAACACTGAGTCTGTGTCTAGCACATTCTTATCTCCTGGCCTGTGGAGTATGCATATCAAGCCAAATGTCCCTTTGCTCTGGGAAATGTCACTGTATTCATGGGACTGCTTCCTTCCCCCTTGGAGATGAAGCACATTTTCCCTAGCCGGCAGAGGGCAGTAGCTGGCAGAAGGGGAGTGTGCTGCAGAGCTGTGAGGCAGAAAGGCCAGGCTGTTTCACTGGGCTGCAAGGCTGCAGTGAGCACTACTGCTCTGCAAGGCTCCTAAAGCTGGGTTTTTGGATAAGCTTCTAGGCCTTGTTATTAACTTAAATCCAAGAGAAAGATCAAGCATGGGGTTCTGGTGGATTTAGGGCATGCTTTTCTGGGATGCCTAGAGTTTTAAATTTGGCCATTCTAATCAGCCTCATCTTGCAGGAGAGGGAATAATCCTGCTTAAGATACACCTAACCTCAGGCTCCCAGGTGTGCACCAGGTGGTGTCTGGTGAAGAGTATGCTGTAGCCTCTAGTCTGAGTGTGTGGTCAACTAGCCCTTGGAGAAAGTCAGTGCCCATGTAACATCAGCCTGACCTTCCCTTGCACATTAGTTTTGACCTGAGACCTCACACTATCTATTTGCTGAGACTGAAGGGAGGCTGCACCTGGCTCTCTCTGTAAGCTTTGTGTGAATGGTGGCAGTGAGGAAGGGCTGATTGCTGAATCAGAATAGGAAATGGCTGTTCCTTCAGGTAGGGAGTTCAAACACTGGAAGAGATCCTGGAAAGAGCCTGGGATGCCAGTTCCCCTCTCAACCTCAGCTGCCTCCTCCAGGAACCAGCTGGGGCTCCCTGAGCTAGTGGCCAGCTGGACAGGGACAAGAGAGCAGTGTACAAGAAACAGGGGCTCCTTAGGCATGGGCTGGGGAGCTGGGGAGCAGCAGGAGAGGACTTCCTGCAGCTGTCAGGTGTATCTGGGGGCCGTAGTGAGGGGGTGTAAGAGCAGCTGGCACCCTTGAGGAGGGGCAGAAGGACCATTTGTCAGCTCTAGGGACGTGGGGGGCTTGATGAAAGTGCCTCCAGATCCCTTAAGCTGAGGCTGTTTTATGTGTGGGGTGGTATACAAGAGACATCCTGCAGCCTGAGTTCTTACAGTTTTGGGGTGAGGGCATCCCAGCAGAGACCTTGGAGCACATTTGTTTATTTGGAGGGATTTTTGGACCTTTGCTGGCTAATCTGGGGAGGGGGCACCCTGGTTGTTGTGGGTAGTACTCAAGGCAATCACAGGGGAGGGGTGGAGATTCTTACCCCGCCATACCCCTGCTCTTGGCTCAACTGCCCCAATCTGGCAGGCTGCCCACTTCCTATTTCCGTCGGGCACCAGGGTAACAGGGCCACATTAGGGTCTGAGCCAGGAGATGCCCAGCCAAGGCTGGGACTTGTGTCGGGGAGGGTCCCTGACGGATCAGCCTGCAGGGTCTAGCAAAGACTCTGAATCCAAGCCCCCAATTCAGACTACATTCTAGTCCTCATAGCCCTAGACAAAGCCCTTGTGGGGGGTTGCAGCCCCTTTTAGTACACACTATTTGGTTCACAGCCCCCACCCTGGAATCTCAGGAGTTGCCTGCAACTGTGAGAGCCGCAGTGGAACTAGACAGGGGGCCTTGTGTATGGGGAGTCAGGGGGGCCAGTGCGGGTCGCTGGGAGGAAGAGTTCCCCTATTCCTGCTGTCCTCTTGGCAGTGATTCAAAAAAGTCTTTTTTCAGCCAGTGTCAGAGCGGCTCAGCTGGGGAGGGAGGGAGACAGAGAGGGAGGGAATAAGGAGGACAGGCAAGCAAGCAGGCGCTGGGGGAGCCAGGGAGTAGGACTGGAACTGTGACCACTGCCCTGCAGAGAAGACAGGACAGAGGACTCAGCCGCAACCAGCTGTGGAAACCCAGCCTGACTTGCAGTGGAGCAAAGCCACCATTCCATTCTTCTGCCCTATTTCTCACTTCTGTGTGGGATTGGGGGGCTTTCTTGGCCCGGCCCCCTGGCCAGTTTCCCTTCTGGGCAGAGCATAAAACTCAGAAGCTGGGCCTTTGCTGCCCCCTTTCTAGGCCATAGCTCTAGTGACTTGTTCAGGGGGGCTTAGTTCCTTCGAGATGCCAGCAGCCCGTCGGTTCCCTGGCCTTGAGCTCTCCTTTCCTCTCCTGGCAAGACTGCGGCGACGTCTGTACACAGTGAGTGGGGGGCTGGTGGTGGGAGTTGGATTGGCTGGGGACTTGGTTAGCTCCTCAACACCAGCACATTACTGAGAAGCTGAGAGCAAGGATGGCTGAGGGGCACCTTCCTGAGGGCTTCCTAGGGGTGTGGATCAAGGGGCCTTTCTCATCTAGCTGCCACATTCAAAGACAGACAGACAGTCTGTGTGTCTCTGTGTTTGTGTCTGCGGAGCTGCATGTGTCAGACACAGGTGATTCAGATTCCACGCCTTGCTGGGGGCCAGATACACACAGAATTGGAAACACTGAGCTGGAGGACCCTGCACTAGTACTCTGTATGTAGTTCACAAAGAAACTTGGCCTAGAAGGAGATCTAGAGGAGGTCACTTTGGTCTTAGCAGCAGAGACAGGACTAGAACTCTTCTGGACCCCTTTCTCTTTACTGGGATCCCAGTGTTCTTCCTAGGCTTTGTATCATTCCTCCCCCAGCTACCCTGTTCTTCGGTTGGCATGGAGGGAGGGGAGTATTCAGTTTAGCAGGGAGGTGTGTTAGCTGGTGCTTCAAGGAAGGTGAACAGACTTGACTGGACTTTCTAAGTAGCTTCAGGGGAAGGCATCTGAGTTTCAATGAGCCCTAACTATTCAGGGCATGACTTTAGATTGTTTTCTGATGCCTGGAAGAGGGTAAGGCATTGGGAGCCTGGACTCCTAGGACTTGTGGGGGTGGGAAGAGAGGGGGAGGACCTGTAGTCTGCTTGCCCTGGTTGGAGCTAGAAGGCCCCATGCTGATTTTGGTGTTTTTGAGATAGGGTCTCCTTGTAACCCCACCTTGCCCGGCACTTTCTATGTAGACCAGGCTGGCCCAGATCTCACAGATACCTGTCTGCCTCTGCTTCCTGAGTGTTCTGATTAAAGACTTGTGCCACACCCAGCAGGAGGCCCCATGTTGAAGCTCAGCCACATAGCCAATGGTATCATTTTGCTCCACAGTGGTGGAAATGCTGCCTGGCTCTCACTGGTGGAGCTGGGGAGGAATTCCACTGTGCACCTTTGGGCTCTGCTCAGGAAAGCAGTGGTGCTCCACCTGCTTAAGCACCACACTTTTTGTTTGCAAACAGATGATTTTGCTGGGATAAATGAGTCAGTACAGCTAATTGTTTAGAACTGGCATATAAAATGACTATAGCTTTGAAATGTGAGATGTCATTTTTGATGCCCTTCACAAATAAAATTAATAGAAATGTTCTACATTAATTGTAGATAGTAAGTGTGTGATGCCAACTATAATATTTTGGAGACATGAGAGAAAAATGTTTTGTGACACTTTATGTATTCTTTCGTTATGCTGGGAGGTTGAGGAAGTAGCAAGAGATGGAAACCCCAGGTAGAAGCAACATGAAGGCCCCGTCACAAACACTGCCCGGAGAAATTTTGAAGTGATGAGTGCACTGCATTGCCTTACTGGTGTTTTCCCAGACAGTGGACTGCTGCTGTCTTCTGAATAGAGCAAAATCCAGTTTCTCCCCAGTACACAGTAGTTCTATTCCGGGAAAATCAGTCCACATTAAACCTACAAAAGCATTTTCTTGTTTAAATGTAAAATGGAATTTGAGTCTCGGTTTGGATGATTATAATACTCTTCATCTGGGTGAACTAAGTTGTATGGAATTTGGGACAGTGTTCGAGATTGTCCTGTGCATTGCAGAATAACTCATGTTCTTATCCCCCTTACCACCTGCTAAATGTCACTAGTGCTCCCCCCAAACACTGTGACAAAAATATCCTCTGTCTAGAGGGTTATGCCCCTCTAGAAGAGACATCCCAATAAAGGGTTTCACCTTAAAGTTTGGAAGCCACCCGCCAGTCCAGCTGCCTGGCTGAGTGTCTTTGGAGGAAGAGCCAGGGTTTGAGCTGAGAGGGGAGCTACTCTTTGTGCTGCCCTGAACTGCCTGGGAAAATCTGCGCTAGAGACTACTGGGAATGGGGGTGGGGTATGGACACATGTGGACAGGAGGAGGCTCATGCTGGGCCTCAACTGTGAGTGTATATTCCTCTTAGTGCATCTTACTGTGTTGAGGGCTCGGGGTGAAGCCACACTATGTGTTGGCCCCTAACTGGACAGCTAACCTTTTCCTTCTTTCTGTCGTCTTCTTTGGGAACCAAGGTGAGGTCAGGGTCTGATGTGGTCTGGTCTGTCCAAGCCGCTCACCTCTGAGATGTCTTATTCAGACAAGAACAAGTTTGATATCTGGTGGGTCAGGCTACTTAGTTTTGAAGGTCCTTTGAAGGAGAGTGTAAACCAGGCTGAGTGGCCTGCAGATATGTTTTGTTTTCTTTTGTCAGCATAGGTCTGTGTATGTACACATGAGCCTTTCAAGCTTGCACTATTTGGCATCATTTAAATAAGAGAAAAAATGTTAAGTGAAAATGAGAAGCAGAGCTTTATAGGTAATGTGTGAAGATCTGCATCTTAAAAGGGCAATAGAAGACATTGGTAGCTGGTTTGGGGACCGAGAGGTAGTGGCTTTGCAGTAGGGGAGGGAATGAGACTTCTGTGTGCCTTTTGAGTATTTACCATGTGCATATGTTGCTTTTCCAAAAATATTTTTGAGGTCAGAGTTCATAAAAATTCAGATGTCTGGTCCTGGAAAAAAAATGGGGGCAAGTTTTAACTAAAGTGTCTTGTGACAGCCATTGACAGGAGGTGAGTTTCCCATTTACTGAAGTGTCTGAAAGCCCACTCAAGTTCTCACCCCTCCCTCTTGTCTTACACTTACGGCCCTGTAGCCTCCACAGGTTGCCTGTGGGATATTCTTAGGATTGAAAACTTCATTTAGATCTTGCTGTGATGTCTATTTGATCCAAGGAGCCAATGAATGGCTCTCAAAGGGACATTGCAGAGCTCTCCCCCGCAAATTTTTAATTAAAAATTTAGGAGTAAGAACATCTCTATTTTCCTGGAGAGATAACTGATATTATTAATCTGTTTCTAATCTCTGGAGATAAAGGCAGGTAAGGCCTCTGAGCACAGGTTGATCGTAGCTCACTCAACCAGAGATCACAGATTTGGGAGGAAGACTCTCAACTCCTGACTGCTCTAGACCAGGGCTGGTCTCAGCTGCCCTATTCTGCCATTGTGGTTGGCAGGAATCAGGGGAAGTGGGTACAGCTGAGTTAGGGGGCAAGAAAGTGCTTTGTGTTCTTAAGTACCTGTAGAGTAGGCTACTGGTGAGCCCAGGGCACTAAAGGGCTGGTCCCCTGCCACCTGCTTGCATCTCCTGGTCCTTGAGCCACTCTTCTCTTTCCACAGAGGCTGGGGAGCAGCAGCATGCAGCCAGAAGAGGGCACGGGCTGGCTGTTAGAGCTGCTGTCTGAGGTGCAGCTACAGCAGTACTTCCTTCGGCTTCGAGATGACCTTAATGTTACCCGCCTGTCCCACTTTGAGTATGTCAAGAACGAGGATCTGGAAAAGATTGGCATGGGCCGGCCTGGTAGGTAGGCCATTGGCCTTACTTGTCTTTCCCTTTCTGACCATTTACCTCATCTCTCTTCAGGGTGGCCCAGTGTATGAGGAATCCCTTTGCCTTGGCAGTTGAATACTGTCTGCCCCTGAGATGGAATGGGAGGGCCATCAGTAGATAACTGCCCACAGGGTGCACTGGGAACAGTTTGTTGAAAATGTGAGTTGGGATTTAAAGAGAATGGAGTCTTAAAGCTCTTTCTGCTCAGGATTAATGGCATGTACCCATCTGGTATATATACATACACACACACACATACCTGTACTGGGAATTGAATTTAGGGTCTTGCCTGTACACATGCTCTGCCAGGGAGCTACACCTTCAGCCTCCCCTCTCTCTTTTTTTAGTAATACTAGGAATTGAACCCAGGGCCTCGTACATGGTAGGCAAGCACTCTGCCACTGAACTTTATTAGTAGCCCTTTCTGTGTTTTGTGGTTTTGAGATGGGTTCTCAATAAGTTACCTAGGATAGCCTTGAATCTGTTCTGTGGCCCAAGCAGGCTATGAACCTGAGTTTGTCCTGCCTCAGGTTCCCTAGTAGCTGGGATTTGCAGACCCATGCCCTTCGCCTTTTCCTTTGGTCAGACATTGTGGGATGTATTTCCTCTGTTTTTCCCTCTGTTGTAAGTGTAGAATTGAACCTCTTCTGTTTCATTCTGAACACCAGTGGGGTCAGTGCCAAAAATGTACAGGGAGACAAGAAGAGCTCTCAGATGATGTGCTAACATGCTTCATTTCAGTTATTTTTAAACCAAAATAGTGGTTACTGTCTAGAAGTTGTAGTTGCTCTGTAGAACACTGGAAACTTCTCAGGGACTGGGGGTAGAGCTCAGTAGAGTGCTTGCTTAGTATGTAGGAAGCCCTGGGTTTTATCCCCAGCATGCCATAAACCAGGTGTGGTAGCACACACCTGTAATTCCAGCACTTGGGAGGTAGAGGTAGGAGAATCAGGAGTACATCATCATCCTCAGCTATATAGCAAATTCAAGACTAGTCGTGAGACAGTCTCAAAAGACAAACAAAACCTTGCTATGTCCAACTCAAAAGCAGTGAAATGTATATGGTGGTAAATAACACTAACTTATGCTGCTTTTGGTTTAAATAGTGTCTAATGTCAGCATTCTATGAAATTTTTATGGGAAATAAACCTCAGAATGGAGAAAAAAATTCTTTTTTTCTTTTTTTTTTTTTGGTCCTTTTGAGACAAAGTCTCCCTGTAGGTTCAGCTGACCTGGAACTCGCTATGTTGCCTCTGCTTCCCAAGTTCTGGGATTAAAGGTGTGTGCCACCATGCCCAGCTAGAAAAAATCTATACCTTACCTTACCTTGATTTTTTTCTGGAGAGTTGGGAAGGTCATTGATCCATCCAGCTTGAGAGTCACCTCCTAGGACTGGAATGCTGTGACTTCCTGGTTGAACAAAGCTTCTGGTTGACTGGGACTGACTTAGCTGGTGTTACTGTGTTGGGCAGTATCTAGTGGTGGGCCTACTTTAGGGAAGCAAGGAAGCCTGTGGGTGGGCAGCAGCCTTTTTTGGGTGTGTGTATGTCTGTGTGTGAACTGCCTGACAGCTCTGGGTTCTCCTTGCAGGCCAGAGGCGGCTGTGGGAGGCTGTGAAGAGGAGGAAGGCCATGTGCAAACGCAAGTCCTGGATGAGCAAGGTGAGTAAGTGATCTGGGTGGGGGTGGAGGTGGGGTACCCTAGGGCTTGTGCTGCTGGCAGGCTTAGGAGCCTTCTGCTGTTCCCTAGCAAGTATAATCTCACCAGTTCCCTCACACTTTGTACAGACCTCCCTCCTCCAGGGTCTTATCTGGCAGGGTACTTGTGGAGCTGCCTGGCTAAGTGTCTGTCTCCGCCAGAGAGGGACATGTGAACAGCCTGTGTGCAGTGAGGGCTTCATAGCCCCTCTCCGTGTGGAGAGAGCAGGAACCTGTTGACAAGTGTACCTTACTTTGAGTCAGGCCAGTGTCCAGCTTGGGATAATGGGGACTGTCCTGTCTGGACATCTTTGCCTTGCTTCCTGCCCCCCCCCCCCCCCCCCCCCCCCACCCCCCAGCCTCTCCAGTCTCTCTGGTCAAGAGCTCCAGTGACAGCCTCCTTCCCCCAGCCCCTCCTCACCCTGTCCTAATTTGGATCTGTGGTGTAGTGAGTCCCTGCTCTGACTCAGTGGAACTTTGCCCATTGTCTGGAAGACAATGAGAGAGGAAGTAAGCCAGCCAAAGCCTCCCTCCCCATTTCTGGCCTGAGGACTGGGGTGGGGGTGAGCTGGGCAGAACAGCTGGACTGGATTGGGCAAGAGAGGTTTCCTGGCTGCAGTCTGGCAAAGGGGCTGTCTCTTGAGATCTTGTGGCCTTTTCTGGGGACACAGTCCTGGTCCATTGCCCAGGTTTTAGGGAAGGATGAGTGTTGGGGCTGGTGAAGCTAGGAAAGAAAAGCGCTGTGGGATTTTGGATCTGTTCCCTTCTCATAGTAGGTCTCTGGGTGGTCAGTGACCCTTTCCAAACTATGCAGTTTGTCAAGTCTTCAGTAAACCAGTGCTGGCCCCATTACCCAACTCACTTTGCAGGGCTGTGAGGAAGGTCCTTCTTGGATATAATGACTGAGATGGGCTTTGCAAGCTGAACATTGTTGGAAAATTAGGGGTTCTAGTTACTGAAAGGAACAGAGGCAAAAAAAAAAAAAAAGACCCTCAGATTGGAGATGGCACTTAGCTCATCCATAAGGCTCACCAACTTTTAGAGAGGTGTGAAGAGTCAGTAGCCTGAAGCTAGAGCTTTGGATGCTCCAGTCAGACTACCATGGCCAGCTCTACACATGGTCATCTTATCTCTTGACCTTTGGCCTTTCCCTGCCCAGAACAGGCCTCTGAGACCCCTCCAGTCTTCCTTCCTTCTCAGCTTTTGACTCTAGGCGCCCCTCCAGAAACCCAGCTGTCTTCTCAGGCCCTTCTCCAGCAACGACTGGCTTCATCTGTACCACATACACACTCATGGTTCAACCAGACTAAAATTATCCTCTCCCCTGGGCAGGATGAAGGGCAGCCGACTCCCCGGGGAGGGTGGAGACAGACAGCGCCAAATGGTTAACCCAGAGAAGGGGCCAGGGCTAAAAATGGACAAGGAGGTGTTTGTGGAGGGCCCCTCAGGCTCCTACCCTCTCTATGCGATAAAGGCAGGAGTCTGCTGGATAGGGGGCTCAGGAAGGGAAGGGTAGGCTGAGAGTATGGGGAGGAGATGCAGACAAGGGGTGGGGGCATGCCTGGAGGGTTGTGGGCTCTCCTGGTCTTCACAGCCCAGTTGGGACCACCTCAGCCACAGGCTGCATGCTTGTCTGAGGCTGCTGAAGCTGTGGGTTCCCAGTTAAGGTTGTGTTCTAGAAGGAGTACAATTCTTTAACAGGATGTTTGTTAAAGCCAAGAGCAATTTGAGGTCCATTAGTGGGGTGGAACTGAATGGCTCTGGGTCTCTGGGTTCTACCTGGCCCCTGACTGCCTTCAAACAGGTGTTCAGTGGAAAGCGGCTGGAGGCTGAGTTCCCTCCTCATCACTCTCAGAGCACCTTCCGGAAGCCCTCACCCACCCCAGGGGGATTGGCAGGGGAGGGGACCCTGCAGAGCCTCACCTGCCTCATCGGAGAGAAGGATCTGCGCCTCCTGGAGAAGCTGGGAGATGGCTCCTTTGGTGTGGTGCGCAGGGGCGAGTGGGATGCCCCAGCAGGGAAGACGGTGAGCTCTTGGATGGTCATGGGGTGCAGATCCTGAGTTAGTTGTACCAGCTCTTCTCCCTTTGCCAGAGATGAATCAGCCGGGGACAGGTTTCAGAGTTGCTTGCTCTGGGGTCCATGTTCAGGTTTAATTCGTTTCTTTTTTTGAAGTCTAAATTATTTGCTTACTATGAAAGTTTGCAAACTGAAAAATAAAAAATTGTTGGCAGTTCAGCTACTGAGCTGAAGCAGTTATCATTTCTGACACGCCCCGCCCCCAAGCCAGGTGTTTTGTTAGGGTTAGTTAAGATACACAATTTGGTTTTGTTTTGAGACGGAGTTTCTGTTCTGGTTTGCTTTCCTGTTGCTATAATAAGAGACAAGAGACTGACCAAAAAACAACTTGGAGAGGAAGGAGTTTATTTCATCTTACAAGTTATAGTTCATGGTTGAAAGAAGTCAGGGCAGGAATTGAGACAGGAACCTGGAACAGAGGCCTTAGAGTAATGCTGCTTACTGGCTTTGCTTCCTTGGCTTGCTCAGGTACCCTTGTTACACAACCCAGGCCCATCTGCCTAGGTATGGTACAGCCCATAGTAGGCTGAGTCCCCTACATTAGTCATCAATTAAGAAAATGCCTCACAGCCACAGCCACAGGCAATTCAATGGAGGTGATTCCTCGATAATTGAGATTCCCTCTTCCCAGGTGATTCTAGTTTGTGTCAGGTTGACAGAAACTATCACAGTCTCGCTATATGTAGACCAGGCTGGCTTTGAACTGCAATAACAAAGTTTTTCTGTGGTTTTTTTTTTTTAATCTGCATTTATTTTATACTCAATTTATTCCTGTGCCGTAAGTTTTTATTTCTTCACTTTCTTTTGGGGTATCTTTTTCTTTCGTGCAACCTCCTCTTCAGGCTTAGGAACAATTTGTTCCTTTTCTGTGAGGATCATTTCGATGTGGTAGGGGGAGCTCATGGTGTATCTTGGGTGATTTGTTCACCTGGATGTGCTCAATGACCAGAGAGTCTACATCTAAACTGCTAAGTTTAGCATTACTCTGCATTTTTAAGCATGTGTAGCAAAAATTCAGCACTCTTTTTGGGCCACTGACCTCATGTCCAGCCCCACTGTTTGGCCTGGGCACACCTACCAACTCAAGTTAAACTGCTGGAACAGCCCACATTGCATCTTTAAAGTGACATCTTTCAGTTACTTGATGGCTTTTCAGATACGCGTACGCTTGACGGCCTGGGCAGTTCCATGGGTGTTCTAAAGTGAACGAGAAAATTGGGACCTCTTAATTTGAATGATTTTGTACGGTTTTCTGGGTCAAGAGAGTAGTGAATGAACCATTTGTACAGGTCACTTCAGGCTGCTTATAGGAAAAGGAGTATGACAAGGTCTTTTATGTGCTTCCCTCCCTCCCTCCCTCCCTCCCTTTTTTCCTTCATGGCACTGGGGATTGATTAAACCTGCCTTGATCATGCTAGGAAACTGCTCTACCACTGAGCTGTATCTCTAGCCCTAAGATACAAATTTTGGATTTACCTTTTTAAGTCCTATTTTTTTCCCTTTTCATTATATTTTAAAAAATTCTCTAGTGGGCACACACAGCACACATGGGGGGTGGGGGGAGAGGAGAGACAAATTAAGTAACTTTAAAAAAATTTTTTATTATTTTATGTGTATGCATGTATTGCTTGCATGTAGATAAGTGCACCTGTGTCATGCAATGCTCACGGAAGACATAAGAGGCTGTCGGATTCCCTGGACCTGGAGTTACAGACAATTGTTAGCTGCCATGTGGGTGCTGGGATTCGAACCCCAGTCTTCTGCAAGTACAGTCAGTGTTCTTAACCACTGAGCTATCTCTCCAGCCCCAAATTAAGTAACTTTTAAATCTATGCATAGACAGGCCAGCTGGGGCTACAGGGAGACCCTGTCTCAAAAATACCAAAAAACCAAAACCAAAAAAACCCCTTGTGCATAGGCTAGGAAACATCAGCATAGGCCTGGTAAACACTGCCCAAGACAGTGCATAAACATTGCCAGCACCCCACAGACTCTCTCAGGCCCTTAACACTCAGCATTCCCTTCCTCCAGGGGAGGGCCACAGTTGCATCTTGTGTGCCATGGATTAGTCTATGGCATTAGAGTAAACCATCTTCCTTATACATTGTGGTTTCATCTTCTCACAGTATGTTAGTGTTCTGTCATCATACTTCTCATCTCTTACCATCAGTGCTAACCCAGAAAACATCCCAGGAAGAGGAGGCCCAGATAATGGCCTTCAAAGGTTAGCCAGCTGCCCTCTCCATGCAAGGAGCATAGTATGTAAGCCTGGGCTGTGGTGACATGCTCAACCACTCAGGTGAACAGATTCAAGACAAAGATCTTTACACTGAGTTGGGAGGAGGAGCAGGTTAGTTTAGTGTTGGGGAGCGTACAAGGCCTTACTTCCTACTAATCGTGCTTTGGGCAGGTGAGTGTGGCTGTGAAGTGCCTGAAGCCTGATGTGCTGAGCCAGCCAGAGGCCATGGATGACTTCATCCGCGAGGTCAATGCCATGCATTCACTTGACCATCGAAACCTTATTCGCTTGTATGGTGTGGTGCTCACACCACCCATGAAGATGGTGAGTGCAGTGGGTAGGAGACAGTGAGGGGCAGAGAGCAACATAGAGGTTCTGGCCCCTTATGTGCTCCTCTTCCTGCCTGCTGTGATCCCCCACCAGCTGTGGCAAAGGGCTTACTAGGGTCCTGCCCAGTACTGTCATCTTTGGATTTTCTAGTGCTTATTGGCAAGGAGTTGTGCCCATAGGAAAGGCTTTGCATTGATCTTGGGAATTTTCTAGCCTGAGCCCCTTTGGGCTGCTTCTTTCTGGGTCTCAACTTCCCATGGTAATTGGAGGAAGCTTAGAAGCTGTGGGTTTTCTGGTGGCACCAGCAGACAGGGCAGGAAGGAGCAGTGAATATGCCATAGCAGGCTTTCAGGAAGGGGCTGGAGGCCCTGTATAGGTGTCTCGACATGGCAGAGATCATCCAGATCTGTTCTCCTGTCTTCTATATGACCTCAGGTGACAGAACTGGCACCCCTGGGATCATTGTTGGACCGGCTACGTAAACACCAAGGTCACTTCCTCCTGGGGACTCTGAGCCGCTATGCTGTGCAGGTGGCTGAGGGCATGGGTTACCTGGAATCTAAGCGCTTTATTCACCGTGACCTTGCTGCTAGAAATCTGCTGTTGGCTACCCGGGACCTGGTCAAGATCGGGGACTTTGGACTGATGCGAGCTCTACCCCAGAATGATGACCACTATGTCATGCAGGAACATCGCAAGGTGCCCTTTGCCTGGTGAGAGGCAGGTGCTGCTGGCTCACAGGGCCTTCCCTCTACCTTGGTCCCGTGGATCCCAGTCTCAGTAGGGCTGTGGCCCAGCCTGGCCTTGGAATTGAAGGCCAGCCCTGGAACTCCTTAGCATTCCCCCTCCTTCTCCAGCAAAGGATTCCGATCCATGCTTAAAATGTCTAGGGCTTTTGTACCCACCACAGAACTGGCTCTCAGCCTGTCCTTATCTGTTCTGGGTTGGGCCTCCTTTCTTTACATAATCATATGTTCCCAAATCCTTACAAGGAATTTTCAAGGGAGATACTGGAAGGCACAAGGGTAGATACTTTCGGGATCAAAAGGGTATGCTACTCAGTGGGGTGTTAAAAGGGTTCCTGGAGGACTCACTGTTAAGCTTAGAATGTCAGGAAAGTAGCCAGGCAAGACTAGGTAGGGGTGTTGTAGGTAGGGCTAGTGACAGGCAGGAAGAGACCTTGTAGGCTGGGACTAGTACAACTTACCTCATACTGCACGCTTGCCCCTGATTTGGACTTGTGCAAAGATCTGGATCACTAGTGCCAGAGGTAGCTAAAGGGATAGCAAGTGAAGGTCCTCAAAAGGCCTTCCCTTTGACCCCTATCTTTTGCCAGGTGTGCCCCTGAGAGCCTGAAGACACGGACCTTCTCCCATGCTAGTGACACCTGGATGTTTGGGGTCACATTGTGGGAGATGTTCACCTATGGCCAGGAGCCCTGGATTGGCCTCAATGGCAGCCAGGTGAGAGCTAGAGATGAGTTCCCCATAGGGTGAGTAGAAGTAATTCTATCCCTGACTTGCAGCCTACCCTTGTTGGAACTGGCTCTCATCTGATGGACTCCCCCACAAGCCATGCTGACATGGCCTCTGTGAGAGCTGAGCAAAGAGAAGGGTTGCCCCAGGGTGTCATGGGGTGGGGAGGGAACTCGGGCAGGCACTAGAGATGAGCTCTGACCTTGGTCAGGGCTAGAGCTCGGAATAAAAATCAGGCTCTGGCTATGGGTTCTCCCTAGGAGTATACCTTTTCCATGGAGGACAGGTATGACAGGCAGCATCTTCAGTTGTAGGACAGGTTGGAGGGAAGGTAAGTCCTCTGCTCTCCTCAAATTCTGCACCATCTTCCTAGCAGATTCTACATAAGATTGACAAGGAGGGGGAACGCCTGCCGCGACCAGAGGACTGCCCCCAGGACATCTACAATGTCATGGTCCAGTGCTGGGCCCACAAGCCAGAGGACAGACCTACGTTTGTGGCCCTGCGGGACTTCCTGGTGGAGGTGAGGGGCAAGTCTGCCCACAGCGGCTGGGGAATGCAAGCAGAGGGCCTGTGAGGCTTAGTTCTGAGCTGGGCAATGACCTATCTTTCCCCTCAGGCGCAGCCCACTGACATGCGGGCCCTTCAGGACTTTGAGGAGCCAGACAAGCTGCATATCCAGATGAATGATGTCATCACTGTCATCGAGGGAAGGTAGGGCTGTGGCCTGTGCTGGGATCTCTTAAAGGGCCCAGGCTGGAGAGGTATGTAAACAGATCTCTTCTGCATCCAGGAGTCCCATGATGCACATGGGCAGGAGTGGGCAGTTTTCGACTTTGGAGAACTTGGGGTCAGATCTCAGATGCTGCTGCTCAGATGGGATTTTCCCTGCCTAACTTCACTCCTGCTGACCTTTCCTACTGGTCTGCAGCCCTGGCTGTATGGATCAGCCTGGACTTGGAATTGGAGGCCAGCACTGGAACTCCTGAGTGTTCCTTTTCGTTCCCCTGCTCTGCCCTCTCTGCAAAGGACCTTCCCCCTCCCAGTTTCCTTGAGACGGTCTTATGTATGTAAGGCTGGCTCCCATAGCCTCCTGCCTTCATCTCCCTAGTGCTGGGATTGTAAGTGTGAGCTGCCACGCCCAGCTGCATAAGGACTCTTGCCTACCATCCAGTGCCTTTCAGAACCTAAAAACGGCTTTCCCCTTCCTGGCTCACCCTCTTGGCAGCTTTCCACCCTTCCTACTAGGCCTCTCTCCATATCCTACTTGGGCCTCCTACACTGCCTTTCTCAGTCCTTCTACCTCTGCATGTGAAACTCATGTCTTGACTCAGGGGCTTCCTACCTGCAGCCCCCCCCCCCCCCAAGTTCTAGCTCCAGCACCTGCCCTGGAGGCCCCACCCTCTGCCGGTCCTACCTCTGTTATTTGATCCCTAAATAAGGAACTGGTCTGGGGAGGTTAGCTAAAATGCTTTTGGGACTGGGTGAGTATTGAGGACCAGGAAGAAAAATGAGGCAGAGGGAATTCCCTGTGCTCCTCCTCTGACTCAGAACTGGATAAGGATGCCTGCAGGGGGCCCTTAAGTTGAATCTTATGCCTCGCTAGGGTTGATGAGTGGGGCAAATCTCAGCCTGAGCGATGGAGTGGGCCCTGGAGTTGGGTGTTTAGAATTCACCTGGACCCACTGTAGCCCCTCCCCATTTTCCACAGGCTAGTACTCCCTCATGTTGGGCCCAGTTTTGGAACATGAATGACATTCTGGCAGGTTGCAGAGCGTGGGAGTTGGTGGTGATAGAAGAAAACTGCTAGGGGAGACATAGAGACAGGAAGGATCCCTGTGGGTTTGAACCTGAGGGGTAAGGTAGGGTTAGACAGGACACTATGGAAACAGTCTGGAAGTAGTACAATTAAGGGTGGGCGACCTTTGGAGGAATGGTTGGCCTGCAACCATTTCTACCTCCAGAAGCCAGAAAGCTTTGGTCCCAACCACTCCTCCTGTGTTCCTGTACCCCCAGGTCTTCACCAGCTCTGTCTCCTGCTCTCAGTGGGAGCCTGTGTTCCCAGGGAGTGACTCAGTAGCTTCCTGTGTCTCTGGAGTGGGGTGCCCTGGGTCACAAAGAGCAAGGCAGGCTACAGGAGGAGCCAGAGGAGTGGCGCTTCCTGGGAGGTTGTCCTGGGTGCACCCTGTCCCGCCCTTCTGCCACAGGCTGTATTTGGCCAGCTCTTGGTTGTACCAGAGGCTGCCACAGCCGATGGTTCAGTTTGTATGCCTCCCTCTGGGTTATCAGCCCTTACTTGGACCACAGTGGGGCCTTGAGTCTTTGGATCTGCTCAGGAGGTGGGAGGTGAGGGGCAGGAGGCCAGAACAGCTGGTGAGCCTTTGGGAGTGGGCCTGTGTGTTGGTGGTGCCAGAGCTCTCCTCTGCCTTGGCTGTCCCTGGATGTCTCTTTGTTTGTCTGAGCAGTCTCCATGTCTCTAGGTGCATGGACTCTGTGTCTCTCTGGGTTTGTCCATGTGGGTCTGTTCCTGACCCTTAGTTCTCTCCTTACCTCTTTTCTCTTGGTCTTGTATTCCCTGCTGAATCTTCTTCAGTATGTTTCCTGGTCCCACCTCTGGGATGCCACTCGTCTTCTCTCTCACTGACTCTGTAGACTCAGCCCTTCTCAGGGCACTGAGCAGTGGACAGACAGAAGATACCTAGGTGTTTGTGGACTGAGCTTAAGAGGCTCTGTCTAAATTTGGAGGTACAAGTGATGATGGTCTTACTCAGGGATCTTATTTGGAGGGTGGGATGGCTGGCAGCCCTTTTGTGTGTTTTTCCAGAAGTAGTATGGAGTGGAGGCAGAGGTTTTGAAATCCTTTATAGGTTCTTGGCCTGGCCTAACCCTACACCCTCCAGTTCCTGTGGTAGGAGTGGAAGGTACCAAATCTCTCTAAAGGGACAGGGTAGGGCTGCATGTGCTATGAGCACAATGGACAACACTTGTCCAGCCATTTCTGGACTACCTTCCCCAGGACAGGGACACGGCACTGAGATTCCTGGAGCTGGATAGCCTTGGCACAGCTCTCAATTCAGGCCATAGTTTTTAAAATATCTTTTTTATCCAGTGGCTCTGGCAGGAAGCCTGAGAGCAGCAGGAAGTTGAAAGTTCATGCTGTAGGTGCTCGGCCCTCTTCTTACTCACCCAGACCTACCCGTCCCACCTGTTGTTGCTTCAGTCACTGAGAGTGGCCAGCCTGTCCTCCTGTCTCAGAGGAGACTCTGGCCTGTGTGTGGCAGGGAAAAAAGGTGAGGCTGAGCAGATTGGTGGAGGGGCTGTTGGCACCTTACCCCACTGAGCCTCAGAAGCATCTGTGGGCAGTGAGGTGTTCCATTGGCTACTTGGGGTGTCCATTTGATCCTTGCTGAGGGACAGTGCTTCTGAGTATGCCTGGGTACAATCCTCCTCTTCTTCTAGTAGCACTTAAAAAAATTTCTTTTGAAATGGGCTCCAAACTTGAGATCCTCCTGTCTCATTCTCTCAAGTGTTGGTATTACAGGCATGTTGGTACATGCCTGGCTGGCAACCTATTGAAAGGTAGGAAACCCCTAGTGGCCATGGGTTTCTGGCCTTGGCTATACCTTTAAAGTGGGCTTAGTGTCTCCTTTCATACTAAGAGGGTCCAACAGGAATCATCCTGTGAAGAGCTGAGTTATGCTGGTAAAAAGACAGGGTGGAGGGAGGGCCGTGAGTTTGTTCTACCATGAGGAGCAGCGTTCCCACTGGTTCTCCTTGGAGTTAATGAGCACTTGAGGAGGTAGGCAGAGCAGAGTCTAGAGCTAGACCTGGCCTGGTAAAAGAGCTATTGGTGTTGGGAGAGTGGCCCAGGATGCCAGGCAGGCCACTGCTGCCCCCATGGTTTTCATGGGTGGCCCAGTGTATGTGTGGTAGGGGTTTTTTTTTTTTTTTTTTGAATGGCCCTGCTATTTTTGGATGGGTCTTGTCCCTTCTGGGGTGTTGTCCTCTCTTCTTCCTGCCCTTCCTGCCCTTCCTACCCTCAAGGCAGGGAGTAATCACAGGGTTGCTGTCTGGTGGTGGGCCAACTGGCAGCTTTGTTTACCAGAAGACAGCTGTGGAAGTGCAGCATCCCCCATTCCCCTAGCCCCTCTGGTGTGGCCCCATTTCAGAGGTGGTACTTCTGGTTCTGGGACAGGTGATGTGAAAGTGGGGAGGGGACAGTGAAGGTAGCAGCTTGGTGCCACATGTGTCACAGCAGCATAAGACTTGCACTACTGGTGCCTTAGTCTCGATTCAGCCCATGTCTTCAGGTATGAGCAGTTCCTGCAACAGATGCCTTAGCATCTCTTGCCTCAGCAGATGGAGGTTTGGGGCATTTGGAACGTCCAGGGAGAGCTCTGTTATTTCCCACTTGTTTGCCTGCTGTGTGGGCCTCAATTCTGGCTTAGACTGGGTCAACACAGAGTGAGAGACTGAAGTCTTCACAGTATAATCGTACTGGGAGTTCTGAGTTCCCTCTGGACCTGTCATTGTAAGTCAAGAGTAGGCTGTATCCTGAGAAGTTGGATAGCAAGGGCTGTCCCCACAGCCCTGTCCTCAGGTGGTGCAAAGCCCCAGGAAGAGAAGGTTTGGATCTCCAGAGTGTTCCCACATCTTGAAGACCTGCATGCATGGGATGGACAGTGATTGGAAGGCCTGGTTCCAAGCCCAGTGCTAAAGTCAGAGTGCTCCCTTTGGTCCCATATCTCTTAAAACACCTAGAACCTGGTAAATCTGGTGGCCAGAAGAAGGCTGGAGCCAGGCCTACAAGGGGGAGGAAGGAGACCAGGTGGTATTGTGAGAGTGCACTTATTTTGTGGCCTTAACTGGTTTGAATCCTGGGTCTGCTACGATCATTTGGTAACCATAGGCTAGTCATGTTGTTTGTTGGAACCTGCTTCCTTATTTGTAAATCATAGGAAAAGCTGCCTGGCCTACCCAGGGAATTTAGGGTAAGGCTACGAGTGAACAGCAGGGCCCTATTGAGAGTGGCAGATCATGGGGTTGCAGCTAGGGAAGATGGGTTGATACAGGTGACCTGATCTTGAGGTCTTATCTCTGCTTCCCTCCTGCCAAGGTAGCCAGGTTCCATGGGTAAGCATCTTGGTATAATAAGGGTCCTTTCGCCCTGGGTCACCACACCCCCCATACTTAGTGTTCACTGTCATCTCTGTCTCACAGGGCTGAGAACTACTGGTGGCGTGGTCAGAACACCCGGACGCTGTGTGTAGGGCCCTTCCCTCGCAATGTGGTGACCTCTGTGGCTGGCCTGTCAGCCCAGGACATCAGTCAGCCTCTACAGAATAGCTTCATCCACACGGGGCATGGCGACAGTGACCCTCGCCACTGCTGGGGCTTCCCTGACAGGATTGACGAGTGAGTATCTGGACAGAGCCACTGACCTAACCTGGTCCAGGGCTCCTGGGGCCAGCAGCCCCTCCGCATACCACTCAAGAGCTCTCCTAAGTTCCTTACCTCTCATCTTTGTCTTTAGCTTCCTTCCTTATTTCTGCCTTGCTTTATGGAAACTGTGGAACACTTGAAAACCCCAGGCTGAGAGTCAGGCTTCCTGTTGAGAATGTCTTCTCTTCTGTTTGAGTTTATGGGGGAAGTCCTGTGACTTCTGAGGCTTATTTAGTCTGGAAAATAGACACATCCAACAGATGGGACTCTGTGTTATTGATAAGCTAAGGGCTATAAATGTACTCTAAAATGTTGCTCAAAGCAGGCGGCACCAGGATGCTGCCGAAGGACAGTTCTTAAGTCCATCTCCCAAGGCCAGGGTACCAGGAGTGGTTAAGGCCCTGCCTTGTTGGCCTTTCCATCAAGTGGGGTCTATCATGGAAGCTCCTGGCCCCAGTTTTTCCTAGCAGTTTCTCACCGTTAAGTAGTAAGACAGCCTTTGTCCCTTGGTTGTGGGGCACCTACAGTCACCTGCAGAAGTATCATCATGCCACACCTTGAAGCTTGCATATGCTCTGGTTTCCTGAGCCATGCTGATACAGACACTGCCCTCCCAGCCATGCACATGCACACATGATTCTTCATGTGGTTACTTGCTTTTCCCTCTCCTGACAGTTTGCCAACTGCACAGGCACAGTTACAAACTTTTCCTATCTCAGGGGTCCTCCTCAGGGGTCCCTCCTCTGCTATGGCATTTTACCCACATACATTTATGTACTATGTTGGGTTTTCTACATTGTTGTGTAATCTGTTCATTTTGTTTTGTTTTGTGTTGTGTTGTGTTGTGTTGTGATTTGTCTCGTCTCACTGTGTAGCCCTGACTGGTGTGGAACTCACAAAGATCCATTTGCCTCTGCCTCCAGAGGGATTGGAGGGATTAAAGACCTGTGCTACCCACCCACCTGGCTTTTCTTTTCATTATGATTGCCTGCCTTGGTACCCTAAGGTTTAGCACTGGGGGATTTGTGGGTTATGCCCAGCACTGCATGCCTACTCTATAGAGGGAAACAGCACCCTACAGGCCTCAGTCCTTCAGTGTGTTGATGTTTTTACCTTGGAATGTGTCTGTAGGTGTCTGAGGTATAAATCAGCAGACATACTTTCTGTATTCTCTTTCTTGCCCTCCATGCCTTACAGGGCTTCAGTCTCACCATGCTCCTGGAGATCTGCACGTGTTGCTCATTTCTCCTCGCTTAGCTTCTTCTGTTCCAGTAGCTCATGTGTCAGACTAGACTGGGATAGGCGGGGTGTAGGTGTTAGAGGAGGGCCCAAGTTGGCTGTAAGTACTAAGGGTACGGGGGTGAGGAAGCCTCTGTCCTCCCTGCTGGGCCTACAGCATCTTCTTTGTGTGTGTGTGTGTGTGTGTATGTCTTTTTGAAACAGGGTCCCCTGGAGCCCCATCTGGCCTGGAATTCACTATGTAGACCAGGCTGGCCTTGAACTCACAGAGATCCGCCTGCCTCTGCCTTCCAAGTGCTGGGACACCTGGCACAGCATCTTCTTTTTCCCTGTACTTCCCTGCTACAGCTGAAGGGCAGAGGGTCTCTCTTTGCCCAGTTTTCTACTATAGGTAAAACTGAAGTCAGGAAATTCCAAGGGTAGATGCAAGTTCATACTTGGTGAAAAGGTCCCCACCACCCCACCAGAGGAACCTCCATCTGCTGATACATTAGGAAGATGCTCTGAAAGTAGTTAAATGGGAAGGCTTCTCTCATGACACCTGAGAAGCAATTTTCCTTCTAGGGTTTCAAAGTCCTGAAGCAGTAAAGCTTTGGGATCAGGTCTTCTATCTAGGTACAGGCCCAGGTAGGCGTGAGCTTGCTTCTCAGGAGGGACATAGGGAACAGCATGGCTCCCACCTCCCATTCCTGCTCAGAACACTGCTTAGGAGGAACTCATAGTCTCCTTTAAGTAGAGTGAGGTCACTGGGGCCATCTGGGAAGGACATAGAATTAGGTATATCCCAGGTAGCTTGTGTCAGCTCTCCTGCTAGGCCTCCAGCCCTTATGGCCTTTTCTCCTGCTGACTCCTCCTGAGAGTATGGTAAAACAAGCATTTGCCCTCCATGCCCCATACTCCAGAACATCAGGCCGTTGGAGGGTTCTACCTAGGCCCCCTGCCTCACAAAATCAGGTGAGGGCCTGTAGAATAGGAGGAAGAGAATGGAGGCCTCTACAGCTTGAGGCCTGCACCCTCTGTCCCACTCCTGGTGTGCCTTGGACAGCCTAGCTCTATTCTTCTAGACTTTAATCAGTCTCAGTGACTAAGTCCTAGATACAGTTAGCACAGGAGCTGAGGTGAGTGGAAAACAGGGCAAACGGCTCAGCCTCCCCATTTCCTGTGGCTTAGCAGGAGGTTGCCTCCTGTCCACCCTGCTAGGGGCTCACAGCAAATGTTTCTGTACCAGGTCTCCCAAAAGGCCTACAGAACAGTATGCCAGTAGGTGGATGCCTGGCATGGGTTGGGGTGTTGTTGGGCTTATTAAGGATCAACTCTGCCCTTGTAGGGTATTGTTGGCACTCATAAGGACATAGACTTTGCAGCCTGGGTCAGGCGTGCTTTTTCCATGACGGCCGCCTCCAGTTGAAAGGATCAGGATCTATATACTGGGAGTCTGGGGCCCTGTACTCCTGACCCAGGACTGCCACTCAGCTTCCTCTAGGATGCGTCCTCAGCTTTGCATTGTACCCTGGACATTCAGGAGTTCATTTCTTTTTGCCTGCCCCCAGAGATGGGCCCAGCATGTCTGCCAGAGGTGTCATCTCTGCCTCTGCTCCACCCTGAGACCAGGTTCTCTCCCCACAGACTGTATTTGGGAAACCCCATGGACCCTCCTGATCTGCTTAGTGTGGAGCTGAGCACCTCCCGACCCACCCCGCATCTAGGAAGGGTCAAAAGTAAGTACCACTCCTTGGTGTCCCTCATTCATTGGTTATCCAGAGGGGTTCGCGTCTTGGGCCACCAAGAACCTGCTGTTCTACTCTGGGGACAACTGGGTCAGGGCAACAGGTGGAACAGCTGTATCCCTGGCTCTGGCTAGGCGTGGGATGGGAGAAGAGAGGCAGCTGTATCCGCTGAGGTACGCATCCTCGGATTGGTCCTGTGTTGACCCTACAGCCTAGCTTCTTCCTCCCTCCTTCTTCACTAGGCTGCTCAGATCCTGGCTTCCCTTACTTGCCCTAATCCTGCTCTTCTCTCCCAAGTCAACACTCCATACCCCACACCCCACTCTGGGCTCCATCTCAGCCAGGAGCCTCATCCACCTCCCAGATCCTGTGCCTGTCATTCTGGAACAGTTGTTCCCATCCTGCCTCCCCATTACCTCCCATCAGCCGTTGGGTTTATACATTTGCTCACTCCTATTCACTATGTTTCTCTCTCTCTCTCTCTCTCTCTCTCTCTCTCTCTCTCTCTCTCTTTACTTGCCTTCTCTCTAAACTCTGCCCTCTATCTGGCTGTCTCCCCACCTTGTGCTCTGTCTTGCTCGGTCACTCTTCTCTCCCACCTTTCCCTCTCCGCATGGCCTTTCTTGCAGGGGAGCCTCCACCTCGCCCACCTCAGCCTGCCATCTTCACTCAGAGTAAGTGGGGCTTCTCAGGATGCCTTGGCCCCTGCCCCCGCCCTCTCTCTCCTCTCACTTCTCCTCTCCTCCTGGAAGGTACATAGCCCTGGGGCTGTCTATGTGGAAGGGGAAGTGGGGTGTGCTGTGAGCTTTTGTTGCTGAACTGGCCCAGCATGCCTGCCTCCCCATTCTGTACCCTCAGACGCCTGAGTTTCTGAAGCAGGTGTGTGGTCCTGGTACCAGCCTGGCCTGCCTCAAACTCTTTCAGACCTGCAGAGGTTGTATCTGGGGTTTCGTGGTGGCTAGTTAGGAGCCCTTTCTGAGGATAGCTCCTGTTGGCCCTTGCCTTCTCTAATGGTGTGCTGCAATAGAGGTGGGGTGAGGGATTACTAACAGGGCCAGGAGCAAAGGGGTTGGGACTCTCATGTTGACCGAGGAGGGAACATTGAGATAGGCTCGAGTGGAGTGTTGCCTGCTTTAACTTAAGTGGAGTTTGGGTGTTCTCCAGCTCACATTGAGGGCTTACGGCAGACAGAGCAGGTTCTGTCCTGTTTAGATGGGGTCAGGTGTGCTTTGAGAATGTTAGTGGTGGAGGGCTAATCTCTGGAGGAATTCGTGGTGGATGGTTGATGGGGAATATTCTTTCCCCTATCCTACCTTACCCCATTCCCCATTCCTATCTGACACTACCTTCCTGTTGGGCTCTCCCTTTCCATCATAGAGCCAACCTATGACCCTGTGAGTGAGGACCAAGACCTGTTGTCCAGTGACTTCAAGAGGCTGGGCTTGAGGAAGCCAGGCCTGCCCCGGGGGCTGTGGCTAGCAAAGCCTTCAGCCCGAGTACCAGGCACCAAGGCAGGCCGAGGCAGTGGGACTGAGGTCACACTCATCGACTTCGGTGAAGAGACTGTGGTCCCAGCCCCACGGCCCTGTGCACCTTCCCTGGCACAGCTGGCCATGGATGCCTGCTCCTTGCTGGATAAGACACCACCACAGAGCCCTACAAGGGCACTGCCACGACCCTTGCATCCCACACCTGTGGTAGACTGGGATGCACGCCCGCTGCCTCCACCCCCTGCCTATGATGATGTGGCTCAAGATGAGGATGACTTTGAGGTCTGCTCTATCAACAGCACCCTAGTGGGTGCAGAGCTCCCTCCTGGGCCCAGCCAGGGCGAGACCAATTATGCCTTTGTGCCTGAGCAGGCAAGGCTACCCCCTGCTCTGGAGGACAACCTGTTCCTCCCACCCCAGGGTCGGGGCAAGCCACCCAGCTCAGCCCAGACTGCAGAGATCTTCCAGGCACTGCAGCAGGAATGCATGCGACAACTGCAGGTCCCCTCTGGTCCCATGGCTCCCTCCCCCAGCCCTGGGGGTGATGACAAGCCCCAGGTACCACCCCGGGTACCTATCCCTCCTCGGCCCACACGCCCAAGGGTTGAGCTATCTCCAGCCCCCTCAGGTGAGGGAGAGACAGGTCAATGGCCTGGACCTGCCTCTCCTCCCCGGGTGCCTCCCCGGGAACCCTTGTCCCCTCAAGGTTCAAGGACCCCAAGCCCCCTAGTGCTACCTGGCAGCTCTCCAGTACCACACCGGCTCTCCAGCTCACCTGGAAAGACCATGCCCACCACACAGAGCTTTGCCTCAGACCCTAAGTACGCCACGCCCCAGGTGATCCAGGCTCCTGGCCCACGGGCTGGCCCCTGCATATTGCCCATTGTCCGAGATGGCAAGAAAGTCAGCAGCACCCACTACTACCTGCTGCCTGAGTGCCCTCCTTACCTAGAGCGCTACCAGCACTTCCTGCGGGAGGCCCAGAGCCCTGAAGAGCCAGCCCCCCTGCCCATGCCCCTGCTATTGCCCCCACCCAGCACCCCAGCCCCAGCTGCCCCCACTGCCACTGTTCGACCTATGCCTCAGGCTGCCCCAGACCCAAAGGCCAACTTCTCCACCAACAACAGCAACCTGGGGGCCTGGCCACCAGCCCTGAGGGCCACTGCTCAGCTGCCACAGAGGGGCTGCTCTGGGGATGGGCCAGAGGCTGCACGGCCAGCAGACAAGATCCAGATGGTAAGTGCCAGGCCCACTTTAAGGTGAGGGACAGGGGCCTGAGGGACCCAGAAGAATGGGCCCAAGTAGTGCTGATGGGTGGGTATACCCAGCTGCAGGCCATGGTGCATGGGGTGACCACAGAGGAATGCCAGGCGGCCCTGCAGAGCCACAGCTGGAGCGTGCAGAGGGCTGCCCAGTATCTGAAGGTACCATCGCTTCCTGCCTGTTCTGGCATTCAGGGACCCTGAAAATTAGTTCTGCTGTATCTGACCCCACCTGTTGGTTCTTGTGCCCCAACCCTGGTCTTGTTACCCTTTGGCCCGAGTATGTCTCATGGCCCCTCTGCCCCTCAGGTCGAGCAACTCTTTGGACTGGGTTTGCGGCCACGGGTGGAGTGCCACAAAGTACTAGAGATGTTCGACTGGAACCTGGAGCAAGCAGGTTGCCACCTTCTGGGCTCCTGTGGCCCTGCCCACCATAAGTGAGTGAGCCCCACACTCTGCCCCATTTCCTTGTCCCAGGAGGGATGTTCTTGGAGTTTACCACAGTAGGAAAAGCCCACCACCTGAAGGGTCACACACAGCCAGGGACACAGGGTTCTCCAACTGGTAGGTAGGAGGGTGGGCAGGCACAGGGCCCAAGAGGCAGGTGGTTTGGGTAGAAAACAACTAAATGAATTTGTTCAGACTTTAGACACTTGGTTTTCTTATGAGCCTGTGAGGGAACTGGGGCCTCTGGTAAAGGAGGCTGGCTTTCTTGGCTCCTTGGTAGCAACCCAAGTGCTTCATAAAGCAACATTGTGACCAAATTATTTAGCCAAATATTTCTTAGCTTTTTTTTTCCTTTATTTCTTTTTTTAAAAAATTTATTATTTTTTTATTTTATGTGTATGTGTGTATTGCCTGCATGTAGGTAAGTGCACCTATGTTGTGCAATGCCCATTGGAGGTCAGAAGAAGCTGTCGGATCCCCTGGGACTCGAGTTACAGACAGTTGTTAGCTGCCATGTGGGTGCTGGGATTCAAACCCAGGTCTTCTGCAAGAACAACCTGTGTTCTTAACTGCTGAGTCATCTCTCCAGCCTCAAAACGACTGACACCCAAACAGAGACTTGAACCCTGGACCCTCAGATTAAAAGTCTGATGCTCTACCAACTGAGCTATCCGGGCTCTTATTTCTTTTTTTAAAGTACCAGTTAGTACTGGGCGAGATGGTTGGCGCGTTGTCAAGTGCTTGCCACCCAAGCATGAAGACCTGAGTTTGAATACCCAGAACCCATGTAAAAGCTGGACACATAATGGGAGCCCCTGGCATCTCAGTTCCCCCAAGAGGGAGATGGGAGGTGGAGACAGAAGAGTTCCCAGAAGCTTGAGGGCAGCCAGCCTAGAATGTGCAGCAGAAAAGCATCAGAGAGACCTTCCCAAAAAGGGAAAGGCGAGGACTGACATCTGAGGTTGTCTGTGACACATTCACCATGGCATTGCACACACACAAAATGTATATGTATAAAAGAGCAAGGTAAGGGGCTGGAGAGATGGCTCAGCGGTTAAGAGCACTGACTGCTCTTGCAGAGGACCCAAGTTCAATTCCCTGCACCCACATGGCGGCTACGAACCATCCTTGACTCCAATTCCAGGGGAATCCGAAGCCCTCTTCCGACATGGGTGCACTCACATACATGTAGGCATTACACTCATACACATAAAATAAAAATAATAAAATATTTTTTTATAAAAGCAAGGTAATGTTAATGCTTTCCGAAGGAATGGCCACCCAAAGAAAATCCCACAGCTCTTCCTACAGAAAGCCTGTTTGTGTGTGCATATACTTATATTAAAAATAAAGCGAATAGAATAATGTAAACAACATACAGTGAAACTTTATGAGGCTCAAAAGTACTGAAAGGTAGGCAAGAGGCAAAGTCAGTATCATCCCCAAAGCTGGTGTTGCCCGATGGAAGCTAGTGTTGCCAGGACATGTGGCTTGGATTGTGGGGCTTGGAAGGCAGACACCTGGTGAGCCAGTCTGCTGTACACTCAACAGTGACGACCTTGTTCACTAATCAGAAGCAATCAAAGGCACAGTGGGAGACAAGCAGGATCCTTTTACACACTGGACAGTCAGTGGTAGACATATTTTGTGGTTAGTCTTCCTAATTTGTACCCAGATAAGTTTGGGCATTATTACCCCTGTCGTTCTTGGGTATTCAGGTACACAGTGGAGCTGTTCTGTTAGTTCGCTTATAGTTTATTTAAAAAAAAAATTTCTAGCCGGGCGTGTTGGCGCACGCCTTTAATCCCAGCATTCAGGAGGCAGAGGCAGGCGGATCTCTATGAGTTCAAGGCCAGCCTGGTCTACGTAGTTCTAGGACAGCTGGGGCTACAGGGAGACCCTGTCTCAAAAAAGCCAAAAAAAAAAAAAAAAAAAAAAAAAAAAAAAAAGATTCTAGAATAAGTTCTAAAATTGTTGCCTAAAACTACCAGTTTTCCAATCCATTTGCCTCACCTCTAGAGACAGTGACTTCTGTGGCTACCCTGACTTTTCCCTAAGCTGTTTCCCTCAGGTTGATAGAGGAACTTTTGGTTATTTCCCATCCTTTAGACGCTGAGAGGTATCTGGAGAGCAAGGGTCTGCCCAGAAGGAATCACTTGAACCTGTCTGTGGGACAGGCGTGGGAAGATGCCCCCACTCAGGCCTGGAGAACTTGCTACTACCTGCTGTTCCCAGTGGATGGAATAAAACCAAGGCAGCAAGAGGCTAAGAGCCCCACCTTGCCCATCTCACCTACCCAGCGCTGTTCCTGCACACCTTGGTTCAGCCCTCAGTATCCCAGCCAAGAGGTGGGAAGGAGCCTTGTGAAGGCAGGCTGGTGAGCTGCTTCAGCAGGCCCTGTGTGTGACCTGCCTCTCGCTTCTGACAGAGGCTGGGCTTGTGGCTGGAGTGTGACCCAAGGCCCTGGCCTTAAGGACTAGACTGAAAGGAAGCCTGGCTTACTTAGGCAGGGAGGATGTGTTGACCACACAGGTGGGCCAGCATCCAGTGGGCCCTTGTCAGGGCTGGGCCCTTTTCTAGGAAGCCTCTGCAGGCATTGGCATGTTGGACAGAATGTGACTCAACATGGACATGTGGCTCTGCTGGTCCTAGGATGTTGTACCTAGAAGTAGTCTGAAGTGGCTCAGGAAGCAGAGAAAGGGTACCAGACTATTTTCTGGCATGGACCAGGGCCCAAGGCCCCAGGATTGGAAGGAGATACCTAAGGGGGCACCAGTGTGCTTTCCTATTAGACCCCAACTCTTCCCCTGTGCTGTTCCATTGTTCCCACCAGCCTCTTTGGCCAAAGTTGCTGCCCCAGCTATGGGTATATGTTTCTTCCAGAAAAATAAAGTTAGTTTCTATTTTATGTTATTCATTGTGTTGCCCGTTTTCTTTGCCTATTGGTCTGTAGCAGTCAGGGTGCTGCTGTGGTGCTGTGGGCTCAGAACAGCAGCCTTGTATCACCATCTGTAGGCAGAGGGAGGAAGTGCAGGCCTGGCGGCCCCTACGCCTGTACCCTTACAGAGTCAGAACTGTTGCCTTATCTAGCCTGGGACTGTCACAAGTCTCCATGTTTTTGTCGTATGGATTTCTGTAAGGTAGAACATACTATAGGAGGAAGTTCAACAACTCAGTTAACTAGAGATAAACCAGAAATTCTAATAAGAAGGAAGGCTTCTATATGTGGAAGCATTTGAATTTTTTTCTCTTAAAGTATTCACATGGTTCCAAATGCAGAAGGTCCCACAGAGTACACAGCAGAGCACTTACCAGCTGCCCACTGCCCTCTTCTTTGCCTTCTACCTTGGTGGGTGAGACAGGGTCTCCCTGTAGCTCCAGATGATCTAGAACTCACTGTGTAGACCAGGCTGGCCTCCATCGCACAGAGATCCCCCTGCCTCTGACTTCTGAGTGCTGAGACAAAAGACATGTGCCACCACACTTAGCTTTAAAAATATTTTTAGTGTTTGACTTCTAAGTATATTATTTTTTAATGTGTGTGTTTTGCCTGCATCTTTGTAAGTGCACCTATGTGTGCAGTACCTGCAGAGGTCAGAAGAAGGCATCAGATCCCCTAGAACTGGAGTTCCAGATGGTTGTTAGCTCCCTTGTATGTGCTGGCAGCCAAACTCATGTCCTCTGTAAGAGCAGCTGGTGCTCTTAACCACTGATCCATCTCTCCCAAACAGTACTTTTGAAATTTTCCACAGCAGTACTGGATGAGTATTTCCATTCCTGTTGTGGATACAGGGTGTTTGGGCTTCTGTACTGCACTTAGCCAGGCTCTTTCTGATAAGGGATTGTTTGGCTATTTCTGGTCCTTTGCAATTACAGCCACTGTTGCAGTAAGTCATGTACACAGCTGTTTTCTACTGGCAAGATAGTGGAGGATGCCTTGTTAGTCATGGAGCTCCTGGGCTACCAGAGTAACAGGAAGGATGCCGAGTCCCTTAGTGGATGAGGTGGTTTAATTGTTGTCACACCAGTGCTGAGAGCTGGCCATGGTCAGGACTTCCGGTCCTTGCCAGACTGTCTGTTGGGAAATGGTGATCTTGGAGTTTTCATTTGCATTTCTTTCTCTTACGAGTTAGTAGACTTTAAAAAAGTAAGCTGAGGGATTTGAGGAGATGGCTTGGTGGGTAAAAATGCTTGCTGCATGAGCATGAGGACCTGAGATCGAATCCCTTGTATCTTTGGAAAATAATAAATAACCAGCACCCATGCAAAGAAGAAATCAAAAAAGATCACATGGTAAGTGGAAGTCAGGAGTGGTGGTGCATGCCTGTAATCTCAGCACTTGGGAAGCTAAGGCAGAAGGATCACCATGGGTTCCAGACCAGCCTGGGTCAGGCTACAGTGTGAGATCCTGTCTCTCAACAACAGCAAAAAAGAGGGGCTGATGAGATGGTTCAACAGGTAAAGGCTTGCTGTGTAAGCCTGGTGACCCTGGAACCCATGGTGGAAGGAGAGAACTGACTGCTCCAATTCAGTTATCCTCTGACCTCTACACACACACGCGCACACACACACACTCACACTCATGCACACTCATGCACACATGTGCGCACGCTTGAAAATAAAGTAAATAGAGGTGACCTGAGTTCAGTCCCTGGAACCCATAGTGGAAGGAGAGAACTGACCCCCCCCCCCCCCCCCCTGACTCCCACATGCATACCATTGTATACACACACACATACACAAACAATAATGATAAAATAAAATAAAATACATTGAAATAAACAAAACAGGGTTGGGGGGAAGAAAGCGAATAGAGCCATTCTTTTTTTTTTTTTTTAATTAGAAAGCAGAAGTATATTTCTTTTTCTATGAGTTGCCTATTAATATCCTTGGCTTGTTTTTAAAAGGTAAGCTTCTTAATCAGTTTCTTGCTGATTTTTAGGAAATTATTAGATCAGAGAGGCCCTTTGAATTTCACACATCATAAGAACTTTAGAAAGAGGGATAAATGATAGAAAGTAAACTGACAGTTGGGATTTGTTAGAAGTAGAAGCCAGGCATGGTGAGCTCACCTTGGAAAGCGCTGAGGAAGGAGAGGCAGGACTGAGTGCCAAGTCTGGCTGAGTTACATGACAAGACCTCATCTCAAACACAACTGCTTGGTATGGTGGCACAAGCCTTTAATCCAGCACTGAGGAGGCAGATGCAGATGGATCTCTTGAGTCTGAGGCCAGCCTGTTCTGTATTGCAAGTTCCAGGCAAACTGAGCTACATAAAAAACCAAAACAAAGGAACAAGCAAAAAGACCCCCAAACCCCACAACAGAAGAAGCTAAGATGGATTCTACAGAAGAGAGCCTAGAATCCAGAGTTCAGGTGCCATTTTCTTTAAAAAAAAATTTATGTGTATGAGTGTATTAACTGCATGTCAGAAGAGGGTGTCCAATTCCCCTGGAAATGGAGTTACAGATGGTTGTTAGTGGCCATGTGAGTGCTGGGAATTCATCCCCAGTCTTCTGCAAGGCAGCCAATGCTCTTAACCACTGAGCCTTTTCTCTAGCCCTTCAGCTCCCATTTTTCTAAAGCCCTATACTATACGGGGCTACTGGTTGACTTTTAAAAGGTAAAATCAGTTAAGGGTGTGGGTCCTGGGTAGGCTGACCAAGCTCCAGTGGATGGCCCCACACCCATGAATATATGGGCAGTATAAACTGAACTTGGGTTATTTTTTTAAAAAATAAGATACAAAGTTGGGGGAGATGAGGGTAGATCTGGGAGGAGTTAGGGAAAGAGTGAATAGGATCAAAATACTTTGTATGCATGTAAGAAATTCGAAAATAAGCACTAGGCAAATGAATCTCTGTGATATTGAGGCCATCCTGGTCTATATTGTGAGTTCCAGGCCAGCTGGGGCTATGGGGAGACCTTGTCTCAAACAAAAAGAAATAATGAAATACACCAAAAGCAAATTAGAATTCAATAAAGCAACAGAAATACTGAAAAAGACAAAAAGTAAAATCAGTATTTTAATTTCTAAAAAAATATTGATGGGGTCTTGAGAGATGGCTCAATGGTCAAGAGCACTGGCTGCTCTTCTAGAGGACCTGGGTTTGGCTCCCAGCACCCACATGGTAGTTAACAACTGGCCATAACTCCAGTTCCAAGGAATCCATCACTCTTCTGGCTTCCGTGGGCATTGCACATATGGTGCACTTACATACATGCACACGAAACATTCATACACATAAAATAAAAAATTTTAAAAGTTGACCATATCATAAATTGGAAAAAGTAAACTTGGAACTGCTGTCAGGTCTTGAGTCTGTTTTCAGCCTTGCTTCAGCTCATGAAAGTTACTTAATCTTCCTGAGCCTCTGAGGGGGAGAGTCACGGAGTAGGTGGCTATAGGAACTGAAGGGGGCTGGGCGTGGTGGTGCACACACCTTTAGTCCCAGCACTCGGGAGGCAGAGGCAGATGGATCCCTGTGCATTTGAGGCCAGCTTGGTCTACATAGCCAGTTCCAGACCAGCAGGGCCTACAGGTAGACCCTGTCTCAAAAAGACCAAAAAACAAAAACAAAACAAAAAAGGAACTGAAGGGGATCTTGAAGGCAAGCATCAGCATCTTGTGTGCGTGGGCCACGGTAAAGCACTCACTGAACTGGAATCACGCATTTTATTTCTTCAAGTTCTTGCCTGTTTACCAATCAACAACTTACATGTACCATACTCTATAGTTTTATGTCCTATTTTTCCCAGTTTCCTCAACTTTTTTCCTTTTTGTCCTTTCTGTTTTGGGGAACATACTGTTCTTTTCTTATATACAGAGTCATTTTGTAGATAGGAACATTTTCAACTCCATATGAGAAGACTTTTTTTTTGGTAAATCATGGTCAGCTGATTCACCAGCATGCAGGAATTTGTTGCAGAGAATGTTTCAGAAAGACTTAAATTTTTTAAAAATTATTTTTATTTTATGTTTATGAGTGTTATGCCTGTAGGTAGGTAAATGCACCCATGTCATAGTGCCTGAGGTGGACAGAAGAGGCTGTCTAATCCCCTGGAACTGGAGTTACAGACAGTTGTTAGCTGCTGTGTGGGTGCTGGGATTCGAACCCAGGTCTTCTGCAAGAACAACCAGTGTTCTTAACCGCTGAGCCATCTCTCCAGCCCCAAGACTTAAATTTTTTTTGTAAATTATTTTGTGTGTGTTAGCGTTATGTGTGTTAGTTTGTATATGCACTGTGTGCCTGTTGGCTGTGGAAGCCAGAAGAGGGCCATTGGATCCCCTGGACCTGGAGTTACAGATGGTTGTGACCTGCTGTGTGGGTGCTGGGAACCAGGCTTGGGTCTTCTTTGCAAGAGCAGCAATTGCTCTTAACCTGTGAGCCATCTCTCTAGCCCTTAGAAGACTTATTTTGGAGATAGGGTCTACCTGTAGCCCCAGGTGGCCTGGTACTAGCTATGTAGACCAGGCTAGCCTTCCTCTGCCTTCTGTTTGCTGGAATTAAAAGTATATGCCACCACACCTGGCTCTCAGATTTTTGGAAAGGAGCAGGGATGCCAGAGCAACTGCAGTACTCTGGGGTGGATTAGCAGATCAGAAAATGCAACACACATTTTTTTTTTTTAATGTATTTTTGCTGGATTTTCTAAAATCTTGGATTTCCTGCTGGTTTTCTTCTAATTGATCTGCTAACTTACCAGTATCTGGATTTACTGTAAACATCCATGGGAGGTGTTGCAGAAGCTGATCCAACCTGGGGAATAGACTCAGGATTTGTTGGGAAGTCTCCATCAGGCCCTAAAGACAACACAGGCCGAGCAGACAGTCTGACCTTGGGGAAGAGTGACATCATATTAAGATGAGTGCTCTGCAGTCACTGTGTACCTGAGGAGGTGGCTTCCCTGA